TCTAATATGCTGATTTCTAATTTGTTCAAGAAACATTTCTGATTATTAGCAATGTTGAAAACAGTTGTGCTGCTTCATATTTTTGTGAAAACTGTCATACAGTTTATTTTATAGGATTCTTTGATTAATAGAAAGTTAATAAGAACAGCATTTATTTGAAATAGAAATAATTTGTTACAATATAAATGTCTTTACTGTCACCTTTGATTAATTTAATGCATCCTTTGCTGAATAAAAGTATTAATTTCTTTAGAAAATAAATTACTGATCCCAAACTTTGCAACTGTAGTGTGTATATATATATGCATTTATAAGACATTAAATTTAAATAATTGGTATAAAATGACATGAAATGAGAGTAATTGTTTTTTTTGCATACTTACTGTACATTGCATTTTGATCATTATGTGTGCAGATCCCGAGTCTCAAAGGAAACGTACGGTTCAGAATGTTCTGGATCTCAGACAGAACCTGGAGGAAACCATGTCCAGCCTGCGAGGGACTCAGCTCAGCCAGAGGTGAGTGAGAACCAGCACATGTTTATGGCATGAAAAATCACAGCCAAACTAATTCACGTAGATGCGAACTGCTGCTTTTCAACGAATCGTAAATGTTCTTTGGAAACAATCTTCACGCACATTTGTGTCACAAAGAGCATGAATATAAAAAGGCTTTATATTATACACAAACAATTACTTTTTCCACAACCATTCAGCCTCCCACGTCTTTTGGGAGAGTTGCCGCTTCAGTCGTTCAAACACCTGGCTGCCACATTCACAAATACACAGTGAAACCCTTTCCATCAATGAATGACAACAAACACACACACACACACACACACACACACAGAAATCAGCTGGACTCCAGGATCAGATATACAGTCTTTTGTGGTTGCATAACTTAAACTGATCGTTTTTATAATGTATTTGTACAATTGGAAAACTGTACATTAACTGTATGAACTAAATTATAATTTATATATATATATATATATAAAATAACTATATAACTATATTAACAGTCTATATGTATGTATATAAATATATGTATGTACATGTACAGTGATCAAACTTACAATTTCATTATATTACATTACAAAAAAACATCAAATTTTAAATGTAATGCAGGGAATTCTGGGAATGTCAATTTACGGTTATTTACTGTAAATTAAACGGTATTTTTCACTTCCAAAATACTATACTTTATACTACCGTAAAATTTATGTCCAATACATGTAATGTCCAATACAGTTTTTCACCGTATATAGTAGGGGAATTTACCGTTAACCATTTAACAGGTTTTTACTGTAGCATTTTTACAGTCTTTTACCGTTAAATTCACGGTCATTTTTTACAGTGTATATATATATATATATATATGTGTGTATATTTAGAGAGAAAGTATATAACATAAAGTGACAAAGTAAAACTTTTCATTTGATATATATATATATATATCTGTATATCGCAATATTTATATATGTATAAATATCTACAATGTATATAGATCTTAAAGTGACTTAAAGACTACATATATTGTATATAACTACTGTATATATGTAACATCTCATTATTTTTATATGTATGCATGTATATATACAGTACATATAAATGAAAATGTATGTGCTAGTTACAGAATAAGATGCTACTTCCTAATGAATGTGTTTTCCTTCCCCAAAGGTGTGCTATGCTAGCTGTGCTTAGCCTAGCAATTATGCTAACTTTGATCTCAGGACCTTCCTGAGTTTTGCCCCTAGAGATCTCAGCCTGTCCTTCCTCCTAACATCAAACCTTTCCCTGCAGGCTAACCATTCACTGCTCTACTAAGTTTTGGAGCAGAAGACTTTTGTAGTAGATATATAACACGCTTACTAGACCTGCAGCTACTGCTGCCTCCATTTTAAAAAGCTGCACTTGTATAAGACTGATGAGCTTCCAAAGACTTGATGGCGCAGGCGTAAAAATGATTCATACCGCACTTAACCCACAGAATCTCAGCCACGCTAATGTATGTGTGCATAATGAGCTTTTCTGTAACGGGACACTTCTGTTAGCCTTCAAGACATGGAGATGCATGACCTAATACGACTCAGAATAGAGGTGCACTTTTGATTTTTCTGAACATGTCGATTCCTATTATACACCTGCTGCACTACACAATATCTGGACTCTGTCAAGATGTGCACTTGAATTGGAAAATCTGATTAATTCCTGAACCACGTGGATGCTTTTAAGTTCTCATGTGCTGTTTTCGTTTAGGAAAACTACAAACAAAACTACAAACAAGCCTTTTATCAATTCGGCATGTTTCGGTAATGATGTGTGACTAGTATTTAATCAAAACCCGCAACAACACAGTGTTTTTTTTTTTGTAACATTGATATGCTAGAATAGTTTTTATTAATATTTTGAATTTATTTTTATTTTTTAGATTTTGTTTAGTGATTTTGTTGTGTGCTTTTGTCAGTTTTTTATTATTTTTTATTTTTTAAAGTTTTAGTATTATTATTATTATTTTAGTTATATATTTTAGTACATCAAGGTAAATTAAATGAAAATGAGAAATATTGCCTTGGAAAGCAGCTAAAATAAATTAAGTTTAATGTTTTTTATATTTTATTTGATTTTATTTCACTTAATTCACTTAATTTTTTTTACAGTACAGTAGTAGTATTATTACAATAATATATTTCACATTGCAATATTTTTATTTTAAAAATTATAATAAAAATAATCATCATAATAATTATTAATATAATTTTATTTGCCAAATTGTACAGCCCTACAAGCAAGCAAATCAAACCCGAAGCTCCTTTAAAAAAATGCATTTTAATTTACTTTTTATCAGACAAACTGCAATCTGATATATTTTTTCTTCACCAAATAATTCAGCCATTAACAACAGAAAATAAATTATGAGGTATACTGCAACACAGGCACGTGCACAGGTAGGGCTCAACCTGTGCAGAGCACATGTTATGTTATAAATCTTTTCAAACTAATCTGTCAGAAAAAAAGATGGGGATATCTCTGGGGATGGATGACTTTGGTAAGGATGGTGAATAAGACTAAATTCAGCATACTGTGGATTTATGTTGAAGAAAAGTTTCATCCTTCATGATAGCGTCCCCATTATGAAGCCCCAAATTCATATTTTCAAATCAGTTAGACAAATATTATTAAAATATTATGTTAAATATTAACATATTTAAATAGTCATTAGAGCTTAAACCTGCCAAACAATTAATTAAGCAAATTAAGGGGATATATTATTCAACCACCTAAATGGGGGGTGCCCTTTTTCAGTTTCAGCACATGTCCCTCAAAAGGTCTGTGCACAGCCCTGCTGCAACAAATGAGAAGTTTTTAGGGCTCCTTGCAGCTTTTTTTTTTTATTTTTTGCCAAAAAAAAAAAGCTAAATGATTTAATGTTTGAAAAATAAAATAAAATAGGTATATTAGTATTGTAGTTTTAGTTGTACTGTTTTTTATGCATTTTATTTTATAGTATATTATTATAGTTTGTTATTTTAGTACATTAAGTTAAACTAAATGAAAATGAGAAATGCTGCCTTGGAAACAAGCTGATATTTTATTTTATTTTATTTCAGTTAACATTTATTTCAAGTATGGTTTTAGTTTTAGTTAACTGTAATAACCCAGAATGATCCACCAAATTATGCAGCTTGTCTAAGCGATTGTAGAAGAACAGACCTGAACCACCTAGCAACATCCTAACAAACTGCATAGTAACACACTAGCAACCACTCAGAACACCTTAGCAACTGCATACCACACCTTGGCAACCACTCACAACATTTTGGCGGTGTATTTTGCATGGGCAAACACACTCATTTTAGAAATGCAAAGATCTAGTTCAAGTCTGCTTTTGCCATTACAGTCATTGTTGATTTTAGTAATGAGAAAAACTCTATAAATGTTCTTGCCACATAGTGTGCGATGTGGAGAGAGCAGGACCTTTGCTTTGGCTTCATGTAGGATGTGATGTGGCACTGAAAGCGAATGGAAAAGCCGGTCATGAGGTTTGGGAGTGGCTGCGCCGTCACTGTGAAAGGTCCAGTGCAGTGAAATAAGGCTGTATGTGTGCTATTTTCAGATGTTTTTTGAAAATACTGAGAAATGAAACATTTATTCTGTCTAGAAACTCCCATGTGGTCCTTTATCACCAATCCAGGTCTGCCATGAATGCCAGTAATGCTGCTGGATCCAGAATCCAGATCACTCATTCCATTTCATAATCAACTCAACTGATATATCATTCAGATACATGCAAATGACAAATATGAGTAAAACTGAACTATTTTTTCCTAGGACTGAACAATGATCTGAATCAAAATAATACCGCTTTTTACTATGTGTAATAAGAAGCATTTATAAACCTGTTGCCAAGACAAATAAACAAATTATTTAATGTTTGAAAAGTAATCAAGAAGCAAGCATCAAATTTGTAATTTTACAGTTGTATTATTATAAAAAGACATTATTATTTTTTTTAGATGCTGCATTTTCCAGTACAGTAGTATTACAATAATAATCAATTTTTTAATTTAATATTTTATTAAATTCTTAATTTTTTTATTTTACAGGACAATAGTATTATTACAATAATATATTTCTCACTGTAATATTTTTATAATATATATAATAATAATCATAATAAAAATGATCGTCATAATAATTATTATTATAGCCATATTTATATAATCACAATAGAATTTTATCGGCCAAATTGTGCAACCCTACAAACAAGCAAAGCTCCTTTAAAAAAATACATTGCAATTTATTTTTTATCAGAAAAATCTCTTTTTTTTTTCTTCCCTAAATAATTTAGCCCTTAAATAGCCCATCGACAACAGAAAACACTTATGAAAAATGATGAGGTATACTGCAACAAAGGAAAAGTTTTTAGGGATTTTTTTTTTAACCAAAATAAAAGCTAAATGATTTAATGTTTGAAAATAAAATTATTTATTTTGTATTAAATATGTATTTTTATTTTATAGTACGTTATTATTATTATTAGAGTATTTTTTTTATATTTTTATTTAATAATAATCATCATAATTAAAAAATCATCATCATTATTTTATATAACTTTATTGGCCAAACTGTGCAGCTCTAAAAACAAATACAGCAAACCTGAACTCTAAAAAAAAATGTAATTAGTTGTTCCCAAATCGTTCAGTCCTATAATAACCCATCGACAACAGATTGAAATTATTAACAGACCTGCTGGCAACCGAGTTACATTGACTAAATGACCCACTAGCAAGAATAACAGACCAAATAATTTTCCTTCAGCTGGCTAACACTAACCGAATAACCCAATGCCAGTGTGTTTGTGTGCTTTTTATGCCTCGAGTGCATGAAATATTTCAACCCACAAGTGCATTTTCTTTTCACAGCTGTGTGATGAATTATCTTGAGAGAAGTGTGTAAAAATAGCTCTTCCATGTTTATGTGGTGAAGGAAGATGTTATATTATTCAACTGAGCTGGTGCATCTGGTTATGACATTTTCATCCTCAACAGATGAATTCTACCACAGATGCATGCTTTTCTTTAGTAGGTCATGAGTTCCTGTGGCCCTCATCCGATCCAACAGCCCTGTTATGTTGTGCTTTGCATGCATCAGTAACCCTCTCTTTCCGTCTACAGTTGTCTGGACAGCAGCGTCTGCTACGACAGCGATGAAACCAACGCTCGTAGCATCTCCAGCCTCTCCAACCGCTCCTCTCCTCTCTCCTGGCGCCACGGCCAGTCCAGTCCTCGTCTGCAAGCCGGTGACGCTCCTTCCTCAACGGGCAGCAGCTATGTGTCGGGCAGCAAGGCCTCATCTCAGTACACCTCTCACACCATGCCTGCCCGCTGCTCCAGCCGGCTCAGCCACACGTCACGCAGTGAGTTCATCGAAGGCCTGGACGCCGGAGACAGAGACCTCAAGTCTGGTTACCTGAGTGATTCTGATGTACTTTGCAAGAGCCTTAATGACGACGACGATGACGACAATCTGGCCAATGGGTGAGTTGTCTGCATGTGTTGCACTGCTAAATATTTTCAACCTTTCATCAAATTCAGCACAAGAGGGAAGTTGAAGATGATGCTTCACTCTTAAAAATAAAGCTTCCAAAAGGAGGTTTTCGTAGTGATGCAATAGAAGAATCATTTTGGGTTCCTCAAATAACCTTTAAGTGCACAGTTCTTAAAACATCCATTTTATTAGTGTGAAGAACATTTTAATAATTTAAAGAACCTTTTTTCCACTATAAAGAACCTTTTGTGCAGTGGAAAGTTTCCATGGATGTTGAAGGTTCTTCATGGAACCATTGATGCTTATAAGGAAAATTTATTTTTTTATTTTTTGGTGCCCCAAACTTTTCCAAAAGGAGGTTTTCGTAGTGTTGCAATAGAAGAATCATTTTGGGTTCCTCAAATAACCTTTAAGTGCACAGTTCTTAAAACATCCATTTTATTAGTGTGAAGAACATTTTAATAATTTAAAGAACCTTTTTTCCACTATAAAGAACCTTTTGTGCAGTGGAAAGGTTCCATGGATGTTGAAGGTTCTTCATGGAACCATTGATGCTTATAAGGAAAATTTATTTTTTAATTTTTTGGTGCCCCAAACTTTCCAGTAAAAAGTTGTTAAAAGAAACATTTTTTCTAAGTTACCAGAGAGGCCTGCAGAGATGCTGTTAATGATGACTTGCCTCCTGGCACAGATTCATAACTTTACTACAGGATCTTCAGATTTTTGTATAGGATGGTATAAAATGTACAAAACGTATGTAGTTGGGGCTCAATGCGTAATATTTTCATTGCTTTGGATGTTTGCTGCAGCTGCGAAATCTATGTAGACTACAAAGTTTGGAATTGGCAAGATTTTTTAAAGGTGGGGTAAGCGATTTCTGGTAGCCAATGTTGATTTTTTATCCGCCATCTCTATCTTTCTGTCACTCTGCTCAGCTAATGTCCGTCCTGCGCACTGAACTCTCTCTCCTCCACATCATGAGTAGACACGCCCCTTACTGCTGATTGGCTACAAGTTTTTGTTATTCGGCCCGAATCAGTTTTTTAAAGCGTTTTTGAAAAATCGCTTACCCCACCTTTAAATGTTTTTGAAAGTAGTCTCATGCTCACCTAGGCTGCAATTATTTGATTAAAAATACAGCAAAAAAACGTAATATTGTGAAATATTATTACAATTTAAAATAGCTGGTTTCTATTGTAATATATTGTAAAATGTCATTTATTCCTGAGATCAAAGCTGAATTTTCAGCATCATTACTCCAGTCTTCAGTGTCACATGATCTTCAGACATCATTCTAATATGCTGATTTGCTGCTCAAGAAACATTTCTGATTATTATCAATGATGAAAACAGCTGTCCTGCTTAATATTTTTGTGGAAACTTTTTGTGGTGAAATAGTATGTTCAAAAGAACAGAATTTATTTAAAATATAAATCATTTGTAATATTATCTTTACTGTCACTTTTGATCAGTTTAACGCATCTTACTGAATAAAAGTATGAATTTCTTTAAAAAAAAATCGACTGACCCTAAACCTTTAAATGACAGTGTATGTTGACTGTCACTCTTGGTCCAGTTCAATAATATTGATTATTAAGTGTGGGATTGACAGTGGAGGAGGTGTTGTGAGTGTCAAAACGAGAAATGCTCAGCTTTATGCAAATCAGAAGCAAAACAAGAGAAGGTACATCGGTTGTAGCCTATAGTATGTATAAATATCATTAATACACAGTTTTGATCTTGGTTGTGCTGCGTTAGTAGTATTTGGTTAGTATATTTTATTTTGTTAATTCGTTTGATATTTATCAGGTTTGTAGACAAAGACTGCACACACCAAAATACTAGCAAATAATCAAGTAAGCATTTAGCAGACGCTTAACAAATATGCTGATTTGCTGAAAAGGCCGATTATTACCTCATTTGATGATGCTGAGTTCAAAAAGAGCAATGGAAACTTTCCATCATTTACATTTTTTTCACAAAATAACAATGAATAATCAATCATGGATATTAATCAGGTTGAATGCACTTATCAAAATAACAAAAACAGTAAAATGTCAAAAAAAGAAGTAGCCACTCACTGCAAAGGAGTGGAAAAAGTGGATTATGCATAATAAATCAATGAATCAAAATCGATCATACAAAATCATAAATTGACTGAGAATTGAACAAATAGTTGTAATCTTTAACATAAAGTGTAACCTAATACACTAATGCACAAAATAACAGCAGTTAAATGACAAAAGTTTAATGGCAAAAAGCAGATTTCAAAATATATAATTTAACTTCAAGCCTGCAAAGGAATGGAAAAAATGGGGGGAAAAAACAGGATTTGGCATTAAAAAAATTGTTTCGAATCATTCAAACTTATAAAAATGGGTTGAAAATTGAACAAATAGTTGTAATCTGGCTCAGATTCAGACAGGAATCATGTGTTTGTGGCAGTTTTTCTGCTGATTAAGGGATAATACAAGACTTCTTCACCATACAAATGGTTGTCGAGAGCAAAAATGCTACAAAATGCATCACATTTACTTAGAAAGTGTAACATGCTTGAGCAAAACGGACACTAATTTTGGAATCAGCACCCCAAAATGATAACGCTTTAATTCATTATTGGATTTCATTCAGGAAATATGATGCAGGGTGGTATTAGAGATCAAACTACACATTGACACCTTTGTTTCCACTATTTTGAAACACCTAAATTGTCTCCAAAGCCAAACTTTTTCAACAGCAAACCTGCAGCATTTCAATGCACCCAGTCACCATTCGTGTCCTTTTGCAAGGTCGAGCCATCTGCCAGGTCTCAGATTATTCATATAACTCAATGATTTCATTGTAATCTTGTGTTCCTCTTGGACTCGGTCAGCACGCAACAGTAGGAGTTTGACAGCAGGTGTCTGATCTGAACTCAGTCACCTCCAGATTTGAGGACAGCCACTCCTTTATTGGCCTTGATTGTCTTTCTAATTCCTCTTTTTCAGCAGAGAGTTTGAAGTTATCAGCACAGCTCACTGCTCAGTCACACCCCCCCCGGATACACACATTGCTTGCACAGTGAGATGATGAAATCCAGGCCAGTTCTCCTGGGCGTGAATCTGGGCTTTATCTGGGAGGCTCATGCGGAGGGATTTAGCGAGTGCCGCATGACGGTGGGGTGATCAAACCCAGCCCTCGTTCTCACTTTCTACTGACGCTTCAATGCAGTGAGCGAGAGAAACTTACATAAGAGAGAACAGACCTCAACAGTACGGATCATCAGAGAGCTTTGGGTCAATTGAAGTAACTGTCTCTTACATTATAGGAAGTCGTGGCTTAATGGTTAGAGTTGGACTCATAACCCAAAGGTTGCGGGTTCGAGTCTCGTACCGGCAGGGATTGTAGGTGGGGGGAGTGAATGTACAGCGCTCTCTTCCACCTTCAATACCACGACTGAGGTGCCCTTGAGCATAAATGGCTGCCCACTGCTCCGGGTGTGTGTTCACGGTGTGTGTGTGTTCAATACCACGACTGAGGTGCCCTTGAGCATGGCACCGAAACCCCAACTGCTCCCCGGGCGCCGCAGCATAAATGGCTGCCCACTGCTCCGGGTGTGTGTTCACTGCTGTGTGTGTGTGTGTTCACTGCTGTGTGTGTGCACTTAGGATGGGTTAAATGCAGAGCACTAATTCCGAGTATGGGTCACCATACTTGGCCACGTCACGTCACTTTATTGGGCCAGTCTTAACCCTCCTGCTGCTTAACCCTCTTGCACTTGATTTTCAAACTGCTCGAAAAACTGGTTAAACGGTTTATTTCTTCATGAAATTTTGTGGATATTTTTCATTTTGGGTCATGAATGTGCATGCAAAGCTTCGACACATGGATGTGTTTTGGCTAGGCTGTACGAATGTTATGACTTGTGTGTTGAAGTCAGATTGACCTCTATTGTTTTCCATGCAAAATCAACACTGTGAAAAACACTAAAGAGTCAGGTAAAAAACTGAAAACTTTGTCAAACACTAAAATATGAAATACATTATGAAATTTAAGACTCAAAGTAGAAAAATATGTGGGTCAAATGGACCCCTAACAAAAAAAATAACACAAAAACAAGATAGGAATTATTATTATTTACTTAATTAAAACAAGCTGAAGTGACACAGTTGCTGAACACTTTATCACAGCTTAATTTCACTGTGTTTAGTCCATTTAAATATGCAAAACTGAAGTTTAACTAATCCATTTATGTTAGGATTACATTAATCATTTTTATTGCATTAACTGAAATGCATGGGTGGATTTTTATTTCCCAGAATAGGACTGAATTTGGAAGGTAAATGTGTTATTTTAAAAGTGTTATTTTATGCAAGCACTTGCCTTTAAGAATTTAGTGAATTCAAATTGATGTATTCACTTAATATTACTTACTTAAACTTAGTTAAGTGGATTTTACTCCATTCCGTATGTTAAATTTATTTAAAATCTGAGTGTAAACACTTTTTCTTTTTCAGTCTAGAAGTATCAGTTGCATTGTAACTCCTGGGAAATTTTATAATTTTTGACACGTATACAATATGTTTGATTAAAAAAAAAAAGCTAAAATAGCTATTCATATTTGAATAATTTCATATTTATCAGATTAAAATATCATATGATGTTAGTAGGGCAAGTACAGATCTGAACTAGGCTGAATCAAGGCAGCCAAAAAATGGAAAAACTCATTTATTTTTATTTATTTATTTAATGTTTTATTTGTTAGGGAATTATATATATCTTTAGAATATGTAGTATTCAATTCATTAATAATTCTCATAATTACAGATTGATCCACTTCCTGAATTTCAAATAATTTAACATCATCCTCTATATTCTCAAATTGATTGGCATCTTCATCCACTAAGTACTGCCCCTCAGCTTCAACGTTTGAAAAATTAGATTCAAGATCTTTTACTGATTGAATAAAAAAATCATTAAATATATTTGCAATTCTTTTTGAGTCATGAAC